CATCCATTTTTGGGTTTCCATATGGGATCATTTTCCTTCCACCTAAAAAATTCTCTGTGGTACTTCCTTTAGTGCAGGTATGCTGATTACAAATTTTTTCAATTTTTATTTCTCTGGAACTATCTTTAATTCACCTTCATTTTTTAGCATATTTTTGCTGGATACTGAAGTCCAACTTGTCAGTTCCTTTCTTTCAGCACCTTAAAGATATCATTCCACTATCATCTGGCTCCCATAGTTTCTTTTGTGAAGTCAGCTATCTGGTTGCTCTTGCTCCTTTGAAAATGCTATCTTTTTTTCCTAACTACTTGTAAAGATTTTCTTTCTTTAATCTTCAATAGTTTTATTATATATTATATAAATCTCTAGATGAGATTTGTTTTGTATTTTTCCTCCTTGGGGTTTAGAGTGCATCTTGAATCTGAAACCTGATGACTTCCAATAGTTTGAGGAAATTCTCAGTGATCCTCACATCCAATTTTGCTTTTGCACCATTCATTCCACTCTTCCATGGACTCCTTTTACAAGAGTGCTTCCTGTATTCTCCTCTGCACTTTCCTCTTTTCTCTCTGTAATTTAGCTTCAGTGTTTTCTACTATCCTCAGAATTAATTCAACTCCCAACTGTCCTAAAATTTAAATCTCTTAATATATGTAATACATGTTTTAAGAAATTCTTTCATCTTCCTGGATTCTTCTCTTCCGGAGCACTGTGATCATCAAAAATCCGGACTGAGTGTGGCACTGGACCTGTAGTCCCACCTACTCAGGAGCCTGAGGCAGGAAGATTGCTTGAACTTAGGAGTCGGGAGGTTACAGTGAGCTACAATCACACCACTGCACTCCAGTCTTGGCATCAGAGAGAGACTCTGCCTCAAAAAAAAAAAAACTATACTGGTTGTTCTCTAGACCTAGTCACAGCTATCATCCTGGGATCACCAACACAGAGTTTTTACCTTCTCTTCTGTGCTGGTTCTTGCCAATAATGGTTGGGTCCATGAGAGGTAAAAAAATTTTTGAGATCTTGCATATTTGAAAGTCTTTAATCTACTCTCACTTTTAATGGATAATTTGGTTGGACACAGAATTTTGGACTAGAAATTATTTCCCTTCAGAATTTTGGAGACGGCACAATTTTCTTATGGCTCCTATTGGTATTTTTACAAAATCAGGTGCCATTCTGATTCTTGGTCATTTGCATACAAACTTATTATTTTCTCTCCAATCATTTAAAGTATCTCATCTTCTGTAGTATTCAGAAATTCCCCAACATATTTTAGTGTCACTCTGTTTTCATCCATTGGTATTGGGCACCTGATAGGTCCATTTGGCCTAGAAGCCTATGTCCGTCGGTTATAAGAAATTTCCTTTAATGAGTTATCTCATTCATGATTTCCCTCTTTTTTTGTCTTTTTTCTGTTTAGGGATGGGGTCTTACTCTGTCATCCAGGCTACAGTACAGTGGCACAATCATAGCATACTGTAACCTTGAACTCCTGGGCTCAAGTGATCCTCCTGCCTCAGCCTCCCAAGTAGTTAGGACTACAGGTGCATGCCACCATACTTTTTCTTTTTATAGGGACAGACTCACTATGTTGTCCACACTGGTCTCAAACTCCTGGCTTTAAGCAATCCTCCCACTGCAGCTTCCCAAAGTGCTGGGATTACAGGCATGAGCCATTCTTTTATATTTCATTCTTTAATTTATGTTATCCAAATATTGGGTCCAAAACTTAGCAACTTAAAACAGTAACCATTTTATTTCCACACACTTCGAGTTAGAAATCTGAGCAGTGCTCAGTGGAGTGGCTCATCTCTTCTCCACGGTGTCAGCTAGAATAGTTCAACTGAAGTCAAAGAGTACTATGATGACTTAATCACATAACTGAAGGGTTGCTACTGGCTTTTGGCTGAGATACCTAGCCTCTCCTTCTTATGGCCTCTTTCTCTTCACATGGTCTCTCATTACTCAGTGGTCTATCCTAGGCTTCTTTAAATGTCATGGGGCTTCTAACAAGGAGAAAACGGAAGCTGCAAGCCGTCTTAAGGCCTCAGCTGGGAAATTACAGAACATCACTCTTGTCATATTCAATGGATAATATGAAGTCATAGGACCAACCAGAGACTGAAGGGGACAGTAACAGACTCCACCACTTGACAGTGGCAGTGGCATACAAGCACCAGGATGGGAGAAATTTCCTGGCACCCAACTTTGCAGAAAATCTACCAGAGGCCACAATCTGGCTTCAAAATGCCAAAGTCTCCTAAGACTGCCAATGACTCATCCAATTATAGTATTATCCTTGAAGACCAGTATCTCATGATCTACCTCAGATCTGAACGTGTTCCTTGAGTATGGATTTTCTTGAACTGGAAACCTGGAAGCTCGGTAGGAAAAAAGGCTGGAGGTGGATGACCTCAACATAATAGATTCTTCCACTTAATCCCATGTTTTCAATACACTACTCCCATCTTTCAATGTGGCTGGCAGACCTCAGGTCAGATACCATTTTTTTTAAACCTTCTCTAGAGAATAAACCTCCAATATTCTCCTGGAGTGAGGGAGGTACAGCCATACTACTGTTTAGAGTTGAGGAAGAGGGAGATGGGAGGGTTCAGGAGACTAAATTCTTCTTAAAGTACCACTCCTACCTTTGCGCTCTCTTCCAGAGATACCTGCTCCCACCGATTTTTGAACTTTACTGTAGGAATTTCATGAAACAAACTGGATTGCTTTTCAGTTTTGCCCCCTCTTTTTAGCTTAGGATTCAGCTAGCTTACTCAAATTTTTTCAGTTATCATTGATCATTCTCCTTTCCAACTTCAAAAATTTGTTCATATCATCTTTTCTCTTCTTTTTCCTTAAGTCCAACTTTTGAACTCTTTTATACCATTTTAGCGGGGTTTGGGGAAGAGCACATTAAAGGCACATGGTCATTCTGTCATCTTTAACTAGAAATATTTTTTATAATACATAATTACAAACTTTGATACTGTGAAATATCCCAGTTTCCTGGCAAACAACTCCTAAAACCCTTGAAATTTCCAAAATGGTAAGTATCTTTTTGTATGCTAATAAGTTGACTAGTGGCTGGCAGCCCCTAGGTAGCTTCAGGATGAGGGCTGGTCACTGGAAAGACCAAGGAAGTATTAGAAGGTTGGGACTTTCAGCCCCACGCCATCCAAAAGGTGGGGAGGGGCCAAAGATTAAGTTGATCTTTAATAGTTTAATCAATCATGCCTAGGTAGTGAAGTTTCTATAAAAACCCACCAAAAAAGGCAAGAATCAGGGAGCTTCCAGATAGCTGAACACTTGGAGGTTCCTGGAGGGTAGTATGTCTGGAGAGGGCATGGAAGCTCTCTGCACCCTTCCCATATACCTTGCCCTGTGCCTATCTGCATCTGTAGCTTTTGCGGTATCCTTTATAAACTGGTAAATATGTTCCCCTAAGTTCTGTGAGCCACGCTAGCAAATTAATGAAACTCAAGGAGGGAGTGGTAGGAACCCTGATTTATAGCTGGTCAGTCAGATAGGTAAAACAATCTGGAGTTTGCAATTAGCATCAGAAGTGGGAGGCAGTCTTGCGGGACTGAGCCCTCAACCTGTGGGATCTGATGCTGTCTCTAGGTCAATACTGTCAGAATTGAACTGAATTAGAGGACAACAAGCCGATGTCTGCTGCAGAATTGACTGACTGGTTGTTGGTAGGGAGAAATTCCCACACACTTCTTGGTGACTGGACATCACAAAAATTTGTGTTAACTGTTGTGATGTGAGAGCAAAGGAAAAACAGTTTACTTTTTCCAAAGAACACCATAATTCACTGTGCATACCCATGTACTGAAACCCTAAAACTGAAGACCAGAGTGGTCCTAAACACAATTTCCCAATACATTAGTAAGTGTCTCTTTAAGCACTGTTATAATCATGATCTATCATTTCATCTCAACTAAATGGGTTTTTCATGAATAATTTGAGAGTAATGCTTTAAACAAAAAAAGGATATGTGCTAATACCATGATTCCTTTATTTTACAATTTTGATTTTACAACACATTTCTCAGATTCTTCTAAGATACAGAAACTAAGCTTTATGATTTCATATTTTCCTACATTTTCCTAGGAGAAAGAACTCTTGCTTACTGTCAAGTTTCTACTACTCAGTCTGTATGAAGAAAACAGGGGAAAAAGGAATATTATTTGAAGTAAGCAAATACAACTTACTGAGACCAAAATAGAAAAACAAAATAAAACACATCCATAACGCAAAGATAGCAATGTCTTTGTCATGTACAATGAAATGCTTCTTTCTGAACCAAAAAGCTCCAATGGGATCATCCACTGAAGAAAACAGAAAGCAGTTTCTGAAGTTCTCCTAAACTCATAAGATAAACTCTGTACTATTTAATATCATTCTAAAATCTCAGCCTCTATAGATGTATAAAAAGATTTTATGAACAAAATTCTTATGGGATTAAGTCTTCAAGGTGGGCCTTAAAAATAATACCCTTTCTATTTATTTGTGTTCCTTAATCATTCTGATAGTACAGAAAATGGATGTGTGAGCAAAGATAAACACAGATGATTTTGCAGTACCAAAATAATAATCAAATATTAAACAGCTAAAGTAGTAACATGCTACTTAAAAGTGTATTCTGCCTAGAGAACGGACTAGCCTATTTTTTTCTACTTTAAGTCAAAAGAATTCTAAAGGATCTTATCAATTAATTGACAAAAGATTTCATATTCTCCTTAAAGTTTACAAAGGGCAAACCTGAAACTATAATGATCTCCATAAGCTATCATTCAGTGCTGAAAAGTAATTATGCTCAGTCTTTAAGATTATTTTATGGTTTTAACCATGGTAAATTAATATCACAAAGATGGCACAAAACGATGAACGTATAACTCTATTAGGACCAATTTTAAAAAATAAATAAATAAATGTCTCTATATATCCACCCACCTACGATGCAAAAAGGCTAATTCAAAGTCACTTGCCATTTCTGCGCGAAGGCTTCTGCACTATCATCGGTGGGCAAGATTGGGCAGGTGCTCCATCTGAAGAAGCAGTAGAGACTGTATGATGAGCCTTCACCTTGTCAGCCCAACTGACACCTGTGGGAGCCAGGTGAGGAGCTGCCACTGTGCCAGGTGAACCCCTATGAAGAAAACCAAGTACATTTAATAAATTAAACATGAAAGTAATAATTTTCAATATACTAAATATTTAAATTTTAGATTAATTGTGTGTGTGTATCCACATATACAGAATAACACACTGTCATGACAATTTAAAGACAACCATATTCATAAATTTATCTTGATCTAATACTTCATTAATTGTATATATTAATACTGCAACAAACATGTATGGGAATAAAGAAAATGAATAAGGATAATACAGGCACTCTTGTTAATTGTTTAAAAGAAAAATTTACTTAAATTGGGAATCCTTTAAAAAATTATGCATAGGTACTGTAAAGTTTTTAGCTTCACTCATGCGTTTAACAAATGTGCATTAATTTGCCAATCTTGATCTAGGTACTATTAAAACAGGCTTTTTCTTTGTGTGTGCTTCTTTTTTTTTTTTTGAGACAGGGCTGTACTCTGTTACCCGAGCTAGAATGCAGTGATATTATCACAGCTCACTGCAACCTCAAACTCCTGGGCTCAGGCAATCCTCTTGCCTCAGCCTCCCAAGTAGGTGGGAATAAATTGGCACATCAGCACACCTGGCTAATTTTTCTAATTTTTCTGTAGAGACAATGTCTCGCTATTGCCCAGGCTGGTGTCGAACTCTTGGCCTCAAGCAATCCTCCCATCTCAGCCTCCCAAACTGCTGGGGTTATAGGCATGAGCCTCCTCGCCTGGCCTGTGCACATGTCTTACATGAACCACAAGCATGATGCCTCACTGACAATATCTAATTTTGGTTCCATAAAGTGCAATGAAAACTCAGTGACACCTATAAAACAATTTAATACACAGTTCTCTTCAACTTTAATAATATTTTCCCCAAACCTTCATAGTTATCCTATCCACTCATTGGACAGCAACTTTAACAGTTCATATTTATCAAAGTTTCCCAAAATTTTACCTTAAGTTTTCATAGGAATGATGACTCTTTTTGCATTCATATTTCACTGGTTTACTTAACATTTAAATTATAAGTTAAAATAATGAAAACAACTTGCATAAGCCAAGTTTGAAAACTAACAACACACTGGGAGTAAACATGTAACTCAACCAGCGATGGCATAACTGAATAGATATAATGAAAGTAGCTTAAGAGCCACAACTGTTCAGCAAGCTGAAAGAAACAGTGTGTTTTACAACGATAATGAAGACTGTCAATTAACCATGGAGATCAGTACGAGAACTTTCAGCACACATACATTAAAGGCTTCCAGTGTTAAAACAAACCATGCTCTATACAATATTCTGAACCACAGACCAATGGAATGCATTACAGAGCAAGCTCCCTTAAAATGGTGCTTGAACATATAAATATTTGTCTTTGCATATATATCTTTTTATCAATCCACTGTGGTCCAATTATTATATGGTCTGAAAGCCCATCAACCTTAACCGAAGGCAATACTATCTAATAACTACATAAATGAACTTGAAAGCAAAATTTTGATTCCATTGAATAAATACTTAATCAGCTTTTATGAAGTGCCAGGCACTCAGAATACAGAGATATGGCAAAGGTCTTGCCTCAAAGAAGGTCCTAGTACAAGTGCAAAAAAACGGACATTAAAAAACAACACTGCAAATGTAATAATAAAACTATATCCAAGGTTTAGGAGTAATAAGAGGTGAAAGCTGTTAACTCTGACATGGGAACAAGGGAATGAGAATCAGTCAAGAAAGCTCAGGTTTTAACAGAGGGAAGAAAATTGACCAAGCAAACTCCTTAACAACCCTTCCTTTACATATCAAATGTTAAGTCTCACTCTAAAGAATTATAAGTCCAAATTTTATCTTAAGAACAAATTTCCCCAGCGATGTTTGTGGAAAACAAATGTGATCAATTTTTTCCTTAATATCACAACTATCAGAGGTGGCAATAACATTTGAGGCAAACAAAGGGCTGATCACAAAACTTAAAACGTTGGCGAATGAGATGTCCATAGGGAATTTTGAAAAGCTCCAACATATTCCTGGAAATCACGGAGGCCACATACATCTGCAAGTTATGTGCATATCCAGGAAAGATCTGAGAAGACCCTAATCTCTCACCTCTGACTGGCTTTGAGGCTCTTAGAAAGCAGGCAGTGCAAACAAAGGCAGAGTTCTAAACTGCCAGAGCACTGAAAGTATGCCCCAACAGTCACACAGAACTAGGCAAGAATTAAGAGATTTACAGGCTCAAGGCATTTAAAGAAACCTCTGTCAAATCATTAGTTAAGGTTGATGATTATGCATAGAATTTAGTAGCTACATAGAACAAAATACAGACTTCACAAAATTAGTTCAAGAAGTCATTAACCTTAAGTAACAAGAAACAGTCACAATAACAATCCTGGAGAGAGTAGCAATCTCATCTCCAGAGCTGTCATATTTTATTATTTAAAATGTCTACTTTTCAACAACAAAAAAATCACAAGATGGAAAAATAAATAGGAAAGTATAGCTCATTTACAAGAAGAAGAGCAGTAACAAAAGCCAGACACAGGATTTACTAGACAAAGACTTTAAATCAGCTATTATTATGATGTTTAAAGAACGTCAAAGAACAAAAGGAAACCATGTCTAAAGAACTAAAGGAAAGTACAAGAACAAAGATTCATCAAATACAGAACAGCAATAAAGAGAAAGAGAAAATAAAGAGAAAGAACCACACAGACATTCTGGAATTGAAAAGTGCAATAACTGAAATAAAAAAATTCACCAGTAGCACTAATCAACAGATTTGAGGTAGCAGAATAAAGTATCAGCAAATTTAAAGAAAAGTCAATTGAGATCATCTGGTCTATGAAAGAGAAAGAAAAAAGAATGAAGAAAAATGAACAGAGTCTCAAAAACCTGTGGGACACCATCAAGACTACCAACATACGTACAATACAATTTTCAGAGGAGAGAAGAGAAAGAAAGGGGCATAATATTCTTTAGAGAATACTGGGCAAGAAATAATGGGCAAAAACTTTCCAAATTTGATGGAAAATACTAATCTACAGTTTCAAGAGACTCAACGAACTCCAAGTAAGATATAGTCAGATTCACACCTACATACATCATAGTCAAACAATCGAAAGCCAAACACAGAGAATCTTGAAAGCACTGATGGAGAAGTGAGGAATCACATTCGAGGATCCTCAGTAATAGCTGATTTCTCATAAGAAACCATATAAGCCAGAAGACAGTGAAGTAGCATATTCAAAGTAATGAAAGAAAAGGGTTGTCAACCAAGAATTCTATGTACTACAAATAATTTAAATAAAGAATACATTAAAATATTCCCAGATAAACAAAAACTGAGAAAATCTGTCACTAGCAGACCTGTCTAACAAGAAATCCTAAAGAGAGTCCTTGAGGCTGAGATGAGAGGACTGTAGACAGTAACCTGAATCCCATGAAGAAATAAAGAGCACAGCAAAGAACTAGCAAATGTAACTACACAACCCATCTCTTCCCCTCTAGCTTGTAACTGTCAGGCAGAATGAACCAAGAATGCTACATCCTGAGACAAGAAGGAACTGTCCAGAATAGCCTGGGCTTTGTCCTGATACCCCTGGAATAGAATGTCCTGTAACACTTGAACTGAGGAATCTAAATGACATCCAGCATATAAAACCCAGAGCAGAGTGTTTTGGGGGTCTTTCAGCTACGTTGAGAAGTGGGGCACAAAAAACCGAGACTCCATCCACCTGGTTAGCTTTCCTGAGTCTTGGAGGACAAGCTTACCATGGATTCTAGGCTTCTGTTGATTCTTGCTGCCTATTTGTGAGCAGTAGTAACACTGCTTTACTTGGCTTATTGTACAAGTCAGAGAATGTCTCACCAGACTCATGCTCTGGGAACTGGGTTTATGCAAAACCTTCTACAAGATCCAGGAACCTTAGCAGACATTGACAAAGTGTTTAGAGTCCTCCCCTGAGAATGCTAAACAATGCACAGTGCTCCCCTCCCAAAGGTTGCTACCTGTGCACAGTATTCAGCTTAACGTACAAACACATACATGCATATTTTTATAGTGGAATATCAGTTACATACTACTATATTATGCACAGAAAACAATTTACTGTAATGCAAGCCTTTTGCGTTCATCTCACCCAAAATTTAAGCTTCGTCGAGCATTTGATGTTACAGTTATTCTATCTGTTGATGGACTTGGAATCACATGACGTCCTGGAGACATCTTCTTTACTTCCCATGCCAATGACGTTGGTCTGTCAATTCAAGACATATACCGAATTAAACTAACAAAGAAGGGAAGGGGGGAACTAATCTTTTCTCTTGTTTGTTAGAGGGTGAAAACATAATCAAGTCACAACTTTTTCCCGCAGTATTGCTTGCCAAAAAGTTACCGTCCTGCCAGTGAGAACTCACAGATGAAGCACGGCCAAGGACTTTCTACACAAAGCAATACAGCAACAGAACTCTACTTATCTCAGAAGGGTCATGGGGTTACAGAGACATGAGATAAACTGCTTATGATTTACAAGCCTACACGTACCCAGCTAAAAAACATTAAAAAGGCAATGATACTAATTCAAGCTCCTGTGTCTAATGTTCTGGAAAAGTTTGTGAAACAATACACAGGAAAACATCAAGTCTCCTTCCTCTACTGCTTAATTATCCGTAAGAGAAGATGCATAAAGATTTCATTGATCTTTGCCAGGAAAGCTAAGCAATATAACTTCTATTGCCTCCCAGCTGGCCCCACGACCAATCAGCTGACAGGTCCCCATCACTCCCCTGGGTTTCCCTGCATCTTATTCTCCCATTTCCCTTCAACTTTGTCAACAGCTGGTATCTTCTCTTAAAATTTTCACTGGCAAAATGGTATTTCATTGTCTTTGTTTTCAAAATTATATATATTTATTATCATTATCAGTGAGACCGAACTTTTTTACCAGCCATTTGAATTCTTCTTTTGGGATTTGCATGTTGGTATCTCTGGCCCATTTTTTTCCACTAGAATTTGCATCATTTTCTGATTCATTTGCAACAGTTTACTATTAATGCTGCTATTATTACTACTATTATGGCTATAAATCCACTGGCACTGGTGATGCAATTATTTTGCTTTTAATTTAACTTTTATTTTTTTATACAGAGAGGCTTATTTTCTTTCTATTAAACCAAGTATATCAGTATTTTTCCTTTGTGGTATCTTCCTTTGTTTTACAAAGTCCTTACCTGCAATATAAATATATATTTATCTATATTTTCTTCTATAAAATGTACAATTTCAGTTTTACATTTAAATCCCAAGCCTAGTTGAAATGAATTTTGATGCATGATTTGAAGAATGTAAGATGGATAATACCATCTCAGAGCATTTAAGGTTGCTTTCCATATCTGGGAGCTGCCTCATGAGGCAAAGAGGAGAAATGCTAATAGCTGGTTAAAGTGAAAAGAGATTCCTCAAGTATCTTTTGGAACCATGATGCCAGGACAGGGGTGGTGACCATTCTGTTAAGCTTGGATTTGGCCTCTGAATCTTTCTCAGTACAATCCTCAATGCAGCCACCACTAGCAGACTGGATTTTGCAAGCACAAAAAAAAAATCTAGTTACCTTTTTTATGCATTGGTGTTTACATTACATACCCTTTTGGGACATAAGAAACAGAAAGTCAAGTTAAATAAAAAATGAAAAGAAAAAGAAAATAAAGACTTATTGTAAGGATATAAACTGTGCAAAGTCAAGGACATCCAAAGGAGTGAGGGGAGACTAGAAGACTAGAATCAAGGCTCTTGAAGATTAGACCTGGTATAGGCTTTAAAGCAACACCACTTTCTTTTTTTAATGCAACATGCAAACTTTATTTAACAAAAGTAACAGGTAAAGTCAAACAGGCACTTATATTAAAAGAAAAACTGACTAGAAGAAATTTTATCTTAAACACCCTACAATAACCTACTTGCAGTTGCGTTTAACTGAGCTGTTGCTGTGAAGAATACACACGTATGGATGAATAATTTGTACATTTTTCAAGTATTCACTGAATACTACCTTATATACACATATATATTAAATTTGAAAAAGATTTAATTGACGATCCCAGGTATACTTCATTTTTATGGATCTTTTAGAAGAGTTTGTCTAAAGCGAAGAAAATGCAGTTCTGACTCATGAATCATGTAATGAACCCAGACTAGACTCTGTTGGACACTGAGTCTCCTCCACTCCTCTTAAGACATCAGATGGGTTTTGGGTACTTGTTTGGAAAGTTCTCTGGGTAACATGACATGCCAGTACTCGTAGTACTCGTCGCAGTACTTGTCCGAGTAGTAGATCTGCTGGTGGGCCATCCTGCTGGTGCACAGCAGAGCAGAAAAACAAGAGCTCAAAGGGCACAACAAACAGCACGTCCATATCCGGCCAAGGAAAGACTCGACTAAAGCAACACCCTCAAGCTCTCAAAGACCACATGATTTCCCTCATCTCTGTTTCTCTCTGTAAATATGTTCCTTTTTTTTTTTTCAGCCTGCTTTCCTCTACTTATCTTCACAAGGGCAACATAGCCACAAGTTCCAAAAAAGCAGGATGAGCTCTTAGCTTACTTCAACCCAATGAAGGAAAGCACCCACAGATCCACTCACCCATTACCAAGGGATAGGAGTGAAATTGCTTGGTACAAAGACATTTAGACCTGACTCACTCAGGGACTGTGGATGATGCAGGCACCAAAAAAAAAAAAAAAAAAAAATTAAAATTTTCATTGTGAGAAACAAAAATGTTAAAAAGATCAATGTATCATAAGTTTCCCTAGATTTGGTTTCCTAGGAATTGAGCCCCCCTCCTGGATTTGTCTCTTGTGATTCCTTCACCCTCTGGTCCCCCATAGAGCTGACACATTAGTATTAGACAAAAGATGCCTTCTCTACTAGATAGTTTCACCCACTAAGATTGAACCAAGGTTAAATCCAAGGGAAAGCGGCAGCATAGGCCTGTTCTTTCTGGGTAAAAAATGCATCTTTGTAGCTCCATGTGACCTGACGCAGTTCACAAGGGTTCAGGTATTACTTATAAGTCTAAACTAAACTAAGTAATAAACCTCTTTTGCCTTTGTACATGACCAAAGTATACTAAGTCCAACCGATTATCTATCTCCGGAATATTTCTCAACTCTCCCTACTGCCACTATTCATCATCTCTAAACTACACCGATGCAACTCAACCTTTCCACACTGCAGCCAAAATAACCTTTTAAAAACACAAATCTGATACATCACTTCCTTACTTTAAAATGCTTTATCGGCTCAAAATAAACTCTAAATTCTTTATCATGTCTACAGAGATCCACGTAACGTGCTCCTAGTCTACCCTCGGTAGACTCATCTCATGCTTCTCTTTCCCTTCTTTTCACTCCTGTCCTGCTAAACTCTAAATTCCTTGACTACACTGTGTTCTCTTCTACCTCCAGGACATCACCCAAACTGCTACCTCTATTTAGAATTACTCTTTTCTCTTTGGCTAGCTAACTCCTACTCGACAGTTCTGTCTCACTTTCAATGTCACTTCTTCAGGGATGCCTTCCTTGACTTAGCAACTGGTTGATGGTGCTTTTTCTTATATTCCCAGAGTCAACAGTATTTCTTCTGAGTGACATTTTGCACACTTATACTTATTTAACATCCATCTTTCCTGCTAGAAATGCACTTAGTACATTCAGGTTGCTGTAACAAGATACCTTCAACCTGGTAATTTTTAAGCGACAGAAATTTATTTCTTATAGCTCTGGAGGCTGACATGACCAAGATCAAAGCACCAGCAGATTCAATGTCTGGTGAAGGCCCCATTCCTCGCAGACAGCACCTTCTAGCTGCATCCTCACATGGTGGAAAAGGAAAACAGCTCCCATCTCTTTTTATAAGGTCACTAATCCCATCATGAGGGCTCCACCCTCACAACTTTATCACCTCCTGAAGGCCTCACCTCTTAATACTATCACATTGGTTATTAAGTTTAACATACGAATTTTGGAAAGACACATTCCAACCACAGCATGCACTGTGCACTTCGTAGGGACAGGGACTGTGCTGTCCTCCTCACCACAAAAGTCCCAGAGCCTGGCACATAGCACTCAGATATTGTGTGTTGATTCCACATGAATCTTTCTTGATCTCTTATTATTCTCCTAATCAAAAATTGAGGCTGGGCGCGGTGGCTCACGCCTGTAATCCTAGCACTCTGGGAGGCCGAGGCGGGTGGATTGTTTGAGCTCAGGAGTTCGAAACCAGCCTGAGCAAGAGTGAGACCCCGTCTCTACTAAAAATAGAAAGAAATTAATCGGACAACTAAAAATATATAGAAAAAATTAGCCGGGCATGGTGGCGCATTCCTGTAGTCCCAGCTACTCGGGAGGCTGAGGCAGAAGGATCGCTTGAGCCCAGGAGTTTGAGGTTGCTGTGAGCTAGGCTGACGCCACGGCACTCACTCTAGCCAGGGCAACAGAGTGAGATTCTGTCTCAAAAAAAAAAAAAATCGACAATTTTCCTCATTGCCTACTACATTAAGAAAAAATACTATACCTTTCTCTACGTTACTTCCGCTTCGCACATGCCCTACGTTTTCACAGCTGTGTAATTGATTCCCTCGTCCGAAAGGCTGACCACTTGGTAAATCATCCTTTAAAAACAACCTCTGCATCCTCCAAACTCCTTCCTGATTTATCCTCTAAAAGAAATGCTCTTCTCTTAACAACCATTATAGTTTTTTGTACCAGTAAGTTTTATTTTAACACATCCTTAGAATACAAATTCCATGAAAGTAGTAAATGTGTCATACTCAGCAATTAAATTTCTGTACTAAATAAAGTGGTAACACCAAATAATACCCACTGACAAATACCCAATGAATATTTGTTATTGAACTAAACGAGAAATGCAACATGCAATTTTTAGATTTTTAAAAATTTCAAGTCAATTTGAGGTTAAGTCCATCGTCAATGTCAATGATTATTACTGCTGGTTGCTATAAATATTAACACCAGAGTTCATTACCTGCTTTGAGCATCTGCCTTCTCCAGCTTTTCTTGAAGCTGAATCCAGTCAATCAATGCTTTGAAATCTCTCACGTAGTTGTCCAGCATCATTAGCACCTCCTAATTTAAACAAACAAACAAAAAATTACATTACATTCTGAGAATATAAAGTTTCCAGAAAAACCTGCATTAGAATGAAGGACTTAGGAATTAATCATTTTTACATTATACTCCTCACTGAAGAAGCTGCATAACCTACTGATCTAGTTTTTGTTGTTTAAGGGTTTTTTTTTCATTATCAATGTTTGGTAAGATTAGAAGAATATGTAAAGTTAAGAGTCTAAAGACCAAGAAATGGTATTGATATTCCTTCTCAGGACTTCCTCAAATAGCCATCCTTTCACCCTTTTTTATTGTGAAGTTTAATATACAAAAAAAGTACATAAAACTTAAATCTACAGATAAGTTATTGCAAAGCAAAGACCCATGTGACCATGACCCATGATAAAAAATATAACAATGCCAGTCTACAAATTCCTCGGCATCCACAATCAGTGACTACTCCATCCCAAATATTGCCTTGACTTCTACTTGTTTAATTTTGCCAGATTTTGAAATGCATATAAATGAAGTCATATAATATCTCCTATTTTGTGGATTCTTTTTTACCTTTGTTTACTATGTTTATCAATATTGAAGAGTATACCTGTAATCATGTCTTGTCATTGTCCAAGGTCAACGCTGAACTGTATTCTATTGCTTAAATATTTATTCTTCCAATCTGTTTAACAATTTTACTGATTGATATTTGTATTTGTGTATTTTAATATTTACTTATCCAATCTGCTGTTGATGAACATTTGGGTGACTTCCATTTTTGGAAATTATAGGCTATACACTATTATCTATGCATACGTCTTCTGATCCCATGTATGAATTTCTGGTGAGTAAGCCCATGAGTGAAACTGCTGAGTCACAGGGTAAGAGTATGTTCCATTTCAGTACAGGTCAAATTGTTTTCCAAAGCGGTTGCCACTCCCATCAGCAGTATATGTGAGTTCTCCTTGCTCCACATCCTTGCTATTCTTGGTACTATCCATTTTCAGGGTTTTGTTTGTTTTTAACCTGAGTCATTCTTGTTAGTGGGTGTGTAATCCTACTTCATTATGGTTTTAATATGTACTTCTCTGATTACTAGTGATTTTGAGCACCATTTCATAAGCTTAGTGGCCATTTGGATATCCTCTTTTTGTGAAGTGCTTGTTCAAGCCTCTTGTCCAAGACTCTTATCTGTTTTGCTAGAGAGTCAACTGACCTTTCTTATTGATGTGTAGGAGTTCTTTGTATCTTTTGGATATGGACCTTTTGTTGGTTGTATGCATTACACATATATATTTGTCTTTCGACTCTCCTAATGGAATGGAATCTTTTGATGAGCAGAAATTTCTAATTTTAAATGTAGTCTAAATAATGACTCTTTTACCTTAAGGCTCATGCTATCTCCATCATTTGTAAACAATCTTTCCCTACCACATGTTAGAAAGATATTCTCCAACATTATCTTTTAGAACTTTATCATTATAGCTTTTTCATTTAGACCTATAACCTTCATGGAATTGATTTCTGAGTATGATGTAAAAACAGGGGTCAAGTTTTTCTCCCTTGGGCTCGGCGCGGTGGCTCATGCTTGTAATCCTAGCACTCTTGGAGGCTGACGCGGGAGGATCACTTGAGGTCAGGAGTTAGAGACCAGTCTGAGCAAGAGTGAGACCCGTCTCTACTAAAAATAGAAAAAATTGATTTGGTTCTCAGTTTGATTGTTGTTGGTGTATAGGAATGCTACTGATTTCTGTACATTGATTTTGTAACCTGAGACTTTGCTGAATTTGTTTATCAGTTCCAGTAGTCTCACGGCAGAATCTTTGGAGTTTTCTAGATACAAGATCGTATCTCAGCAAAGAGCAACAGTTTGACTTCTTCTGCCCCCATCTGGATGCCCTTGATTTCCTTCTCCTGTCTGATTGCTCTGGCCAGGACTTCCAGCACTATGTTGAATAGAAGCGGTAATAAAGGGCAACCTTGTCTGGTTCCAGTTCTCAGTGGGAATGCTTTCAATTTTTCCCCATTCGGTATGATGTTGGCTGTCGGTTTGTCATCCTACTAAGTGAAGTATCCCAAGAATGGAAAAACAAGCACCGCATGTACTCACCATCAAATTGGTATTAACTGATCAACACTTAAGTGCATATATAGTAATAACATTCATAGGGTGTCAGGCAGATGGGAGGAGGGAGGAGGAGATGGGTATATGCACACCTAATGGGTGTGGTGCACACCGTCTGGGGGATGGACAGCTTGAAGCTTTGACTTGGGTGGGGCAAGGGCAATACACGTAACCTAAACACATAACTGGAAGAAAACTGACGTCTTTATAGCATTTACTCTTTTGGTCCACGAACAGATATATACCTCCATATGTTTATATCTTGTTCAATATCTCTCAATAGTGTACTATGGTTTGCTGCATAGAGGTCTTCCCATCTTTTATTATATTTAATCATAAGAATAAATGGTAGTTATGTTTTTTCATTTTCTGTTACTATAATTTTTGTACTTTGAACTTGGATGCAGCAACTTTAACTCAATGCTTCTAATAATTTATCTTTAGATTCTTCTGGATTTTTAAAATATATACACATACACTATCTGTGAATAATGACATATTTGTTTCTGCCTCTCTAATCTTTACACTTTTGATGTATCATTCTTGTCATTCTATGCTGGCTAAGATATTAAGTACAATGTTGAATAGGAATAATGATAGCTGGCTTTCCTGTCTCTTTCTAAGTTTCAGAAAGAAAGCTCTCAACATTTCATCATTAAGTATGATGTTTACTCTTAAGTTTTTTGAAAGATTACATATATTGAAAGGAAAGTTCCCCTTTATTTCCAGTTTACTAAAGTTTTATCATGCCTGGCTGTTGAATTTCATCACATATTTTTCCTAGAGATATTAAGAGATTCATATGATTTTTCATCTTTATTCAACTAATTTGGTAACAACATTAATCTGATATTCAAATGTTAAACTAACACTGTAGTACTGAAATGAACTTAATCGTGATATACTGTCTTATTTTTTAATCACTAGATTCAACATATTAATACTTGCTTTAGGACTTTGGCATCTGTACTCCTAAGTGATCTATTTCCTTTCTCATAAACACTTTGGTTATCAAGGTTACACTGGCTAATAAAGTAAGTTGGAAAAGTTCTCTCTTTTTCTACGTTCAAGAAGAACTTGTGGAAAATGGCCAACTAGACACAGGTAGTATGTGCCTCATCCACAGAGAGGAACCAGAATAGTAAGCAGACTCTCACATTTTGAAATGATCATCTAGGAGAGAACATGAGGATTCACCAGGGAAGTGACAGAAGGCACCAAAAGTGAGTAAGGAGAGGGATCAGGGCAACTTGCCCAGCCGGGAGCTAGCTGACAGCCAGAAGAAGCTCCTGGACTTGGGGAAACACTAAGAGAGAAGCCTCAGGCTCTATTCTCCAAGATGAACTTTAACGATCTTGACTACAAGAGAACCCTCTGACTCTAGCAGGTCACGGGCCAACATAAGGAGCTGCTTGGAGACTGCACAGAGACGTTATTCCAGAAAGGGAACTCACATGGAATGCCACAGGCATCCAGGCAGCTTCGGCCTGGCGCCATTCTGAGAGCCTAGATACCAGGGAAGTACGGGCACACCTGCAACCACTGCACAGTTCCAGGGAGAGATAAAGAAGCCCAGGTGCTCCCATGTACCCCTGGGAGGGTCTCCACCGCCCTGCTGTGGACTACAGGTGAGACAGATGTTTGCAGACAGCATTTTTAACAGTTTCTCGCCCATGCTGCCTGCTTTGGTGGGTCCCCAGCCTTTCTGGTCACAGGTCCAAGGCACCATTTTGTGTTTCACTCTGGGAGGTGCCCCAACCTCAGGCTGAGTTTGGGCTTGATGTAGCTGCAGCACCCACCCAGCTAAGGAGGGGGAGGGGAGTCTAAGGTCTTCTAGCTACTCCTAGGACAACTCTCACTGCCCTGCTACAAGTTGCAGTGAGACTAAAATGTAAGCAGCTGGCACTCCACGCAGCCTCTTGCCCACACTATTTCCCTGGAAGAGACCCCACCATCTCTGGTCACAGACCTAAGACACCATTTTGGGAATTTAAAGCTGGACAGCCCAGGAAGGGAACAGAGATAGGAACTTCTCCTCCTTCAACTACACAATGCTGCAGATGTAGCCACCTCTGCTCCCAAGCATGAGATTTTGGTGCGGGTGACCTGAGGGACAACCTGTTCTCGGCTTGCAGAGAGTGATACATCCCCAACAGTACCCTGCTCATTGTGCCCAGTTCTGCAAAGAGGGTGCAGCTCATTTCCCTCCCTTCACGGACACGCAGCCCACGGGTCTCTACATTGCTAGATCCACAACCAATTCTCCCTCGTAGCCACTCAGACCACAGCATCCTTGAGGGACTGGTAGGTCCTGGGAGAAATGTGGGTCTCCCAGAGCTTGGGCATTCAGGGTGGGCTGCTTCTAGCAGAGAGGACAGTATAGCATGTCAGAGGGCCCCTTAGGCCAAAGGGAAACAGGGCACCTGCTCCCCAACATTCGTGGCCTTCTCCTCCTTCTCCCCTCCTCCATTGACTGCTGCCAAGGCAGCTGTGGCTGTTTCCTCTTGGGACTGGAGAGGGCTCCACAGGGAAAGATTAAGCCAGGGCACTTGGGAGCAGCTGCCCCACCTCTGACAGAGCACCTACCACACTTAGGATTCCACAGAGCTTAGGAAGCACTCCCGTCCCTCTAGAAACTCCCATCCCCTCTAAAAAGCCGCAGCAAGTGCTTTCGTGTTCCCTAACAGCTTCACTTACTGCCGCCTCTGTGGTAGGGTGGGGCTACCAGTCCTCTCTCCAAGCCGCCCCGTCTCTTCTTAGAGGAGCCTACCATCCCGGGAAACAAGCCCCTGGCACAACCACACCTCCCCGCTGAAGCATTTCAGCCACAGACCACAGCCAGTCTGACCACCCTGCACACAGCAGACTGAGCTGCCCCCACTACCTCTGCTGCAGC